TTTACATTAGCAACATAGTAAGATTGGCTGATGTAGCTCCAGTGAAGTGTTCTCTGCTAGAGCAGTGTTTCCCAACCTTTTTTGCTCCACGGTACACTCATCTAAATAACAATACACTGCAGTACACCTGATGCGGAGGGGGGAGGGAGGCACTCAGCCAGCTGGACACCGACAGGAGGGGTGGCGCATGTGTGCAGCAGTAGCAGGTGGGTGGCATGGCTCCAGCCAGGTTGGGCCTTGGCTCTGGCCCAAAATGCCATCTGACTGGCTGTGTGGCACCCCCCCCCAGTTGGTGTCTGGCTGGGGGGGGGCATGCCATGCCTCCTCTCCCGCTCTGCTCCATGTCCAGAATGCTACAGCACACCTGGACGTGCCTGACAGCACACTGGTTGGGAAATGCTGTGCTAGAGCCTGCATGGGGAAGAGAAGCTTTCCTCTGGTCCAGCTGTCTGTTGTATGTGTGAGAGAAACACATGCTGTCTCCCCTCCCTAAAAGCATCTTTCTCTAATTCCCAGACACAGCCCCTGGTGCTGATAACTGAAACAACCGTTGGTTTATCACGCACACAGCCCCCAGGTGTTTTCTCAGCTAACTCTCCCCAGAGCCTTCCCAGACTGACATGCTGCCTTCCCAGGCAAGTCTCTCTTACAACCCTTTTCCTCTCCACAGGTCCCTCTGCCTCAGAGGGGGAAAGAATACTAAAAAGGTCTTCTCCCCATCACAGATCACAGCTTGTATTCACAGCATTGGCGATGCATAGGGAGTGCACATGGGTACACATGCACCCCCTGAGATTGGCGGTGAACCCCCTGCAAAAAGTGCTGCCAATGCTGCTGGCAGCACCTATGGGCAGTCACCGCTTGCCTCCCACCCTCCCTCACTGCCAACACTGCTGGCGGCATCTGCAGGCGGTCACCTGCAGAAGCTCGCCGCTTGCTGCCACTACAGTGCTGCTGCCACTTGCGGGAGCTCGCCGTGCCCCCCCCAGCCATTGGGGGCATGCGGCATTCATGATTCACAGAACAGCAACAGCAGGCTCAGTGTGGTCCCCTGCCTTCAGTCCCTCTCCCTTCTCTAAACCTGGCTGTGTCCTGCGGCTCAGTTCCCTCCCCTCACCTGCCTCAGGAGTCAATCAAAACCATGCATATGCCTTTGCAAAACATTGTGGTTGCAAACTTTCCCACTCTGCCTTTGCAGGGATATTTAGCCCTAATGCAAATCCAGCAGCAGCTGTTACATTAGCAAATACATTTTAAAAATGACAGGCCAGAATCACTGGCATGTTGATAAAAGGGATGGGGTCTTACTGCAAGCAGCTTGAGGCTTTTCTGAACTTTTTTGCCTACCAAACTGGACTCCGGTTGTACTCACAGTCAGGGGCAAGGTAGGGGTTATTAAGCATGGAGTACTGATCAGTTGCAGTTGAGGAGTCAGCCTCAGATACAAAAGTCAAATGATACAATTATTAAAATAAAAGGATTTTATATAGACCCAGGGCTTCAGTTAGGTAACACAGGGAAATTGTGAATGAAGCTTCCCACATATAAGCAACTCACAGAAGTTAACTAAATATATTTGCAAAGTATTTATGGCATTTATAGAGTGAGTATTAAAATCGTAATGGGTTTCCAAGCTTCTTTTGTACGGACTCAGTCAATGATCCAAGATCAATGAAATCTTGCCACAGATTTTGATGGATGCTGAATCAGGTCCTTGACTTCAGTTAGGTAAATATCTAGTATCTCTTTAATTTTACACCATATTATTTTTTCCAAAGAGACCCTTCTCTTGCTAACTATGTGAAGTTTTCCTTAGGAATGCTCCAGTGCTCACTCTCAGGACGCAGACAGATATGAAGCTCCCTGCTGTAACTGAGAATGCTTTGCAGGAAGTGTTCTGAGTCGCAACAATCCCCAGGACCAAACAGAAGTTCACTGTTGGTTGCAGGAGGGAGGGGAATTTAGCTGGTGGCTGTGAGCCTGCAGCTGGTTTCCCCTAGCACTGGCCCTTCGTCTCTGACAGGTCCATGCCAGCCTGGGCTGTTTTCCAAATGGGAGGGAGGAAAGGAGCAGAAGGAGCTTTTTCTAAGGGTTCCCCAGCCAGTACCGAAGAGTGGGGTGGGTGGATTGGAGCCCCGCCCCCCACCTCAGGGGGTTTTGAATATATCTGCCCCACCCTCCAGTGCGGGCTGAAAAAAACCCAGACCAAACTCCCTCCACTCCCTTTCCCCCTCCCATTCTGAAAACGGTGACAGGTAAGGAGGAAGTGCAGACAAAAGTTACTGAAGATGCTATGTTTTGAAATGTCTTCATGCAAGGAGGTTTCTGTTTTTTGCAGGATTAGGCCCTTTAAAAGTGCTTTGCAGCCACACACTTCTGTTCGGTCAAGGCTGTAGACTACTTTCAGGGGCCAGTCAGGCAAAAACTGTCACCTCTATCTGTGCCCTCACAGCCGGCTAACACAGTTCTTAATGCAGGTTTTACATTTCTACATTCATGCCAGCATTATAGTAGCATTAAAGTTATCAAGTGGATCCTTTGTTTGTTAGCAACACTATACTATGATTTATAAGCAACAAAAAATGCAGTTAATGCTAATTCACCTCTAGCATTTTTGTTCTTGTTACTTTGTCAGAAAAATAAAATAAAATATATTCTACTTAAGACTTTCATCTTTACAGTACTGAATTTTGTCATGTAACTGGGTATCTACAGTTGTTATTCCGTGGTTACAGCCTCATTATTCCACAGTGAGATGGGACAGTCAGAGGAAACACAAAATAGTAGCAGTAGTAGTGGTATGGTAATACTTAGAAATTAAAATTCAAGCCTAATTCTTTTGTGTTTCAAAAACATGTTGGATGTTAAGAGAATCAGTTAGACTCTGTACTCAAGTCTCACATTCTCCATTTATGTGAATCAAATTTAAAATAAAAACGTGAACATCTAATTCTCCCATGCTTAAGACTTTAAAGAAAAAACATCTAATAATATAAAAGCCTTAATCTGTCTTCCTGTCTGTCTGTCTGTCTGTCCATAATGCTGTATTTGCACTCTGTTTGGCTGACTGAGACAGCCAATCAGACTGTGAATACAGCATTGGGACAGGAGGTGGGGGCACAGTGGAGCACTGCCATGATGGTGGGGACAGGGGACGGAGTGGGGGGGGGCACAGCACAGTTGGTCTCGCTGCCCCCCCACCTTGCTCCCTGGAGGCAGCGGCAAAGGAGCAGACAGAATCCGGGGGAGGGGGGGACAAGGCCAGCAGCACCCTATAGTGATAATGGAGTGGAGGGGGGGAGCGTGGCCACCAGAGCTGGCCTCAACCCCCGCCCTTGCTCCTTGGAGGTGGTGGTGGTGGCATGGAGAGGGAGCCGGGTTAGGGTGCCACGGGGGGCGAGGCCACTGGTGGCCCTCCCCCCTTCCATTGTTGCTGCCTGCAGGGCCAGCATGGGCCAATATGGTTGTGGGGGGGGAGAAGCAGGCTGGGCTGACGTGGCGGTGGTGGTTGTGGAGGGAGAGGAAGAGTGGGCCTGGGCCTCACGTAGGGGAGGGGGAGGAGCTGGCCTGCTGTGGCAGTGGAGGGAGGGAGTAGTGGGCCCAGCCTGATGTGGCAGCAGCAGGGGGAGGGAAGGAGCAGGCCTTCTCCTTCCTTGGGCCTGGGCCCAATCCTCCCCAACCCCCCATCTCCCTCATTGGCCCTGAGCCCACTGATCCCGTCCTGTCATCGCCACCATGTCAGCCTGGGCCTGCTGCTCCCCATCCCTACACTGCCGTGGTGAGCCAGCTTCTCCTCACCCTTGGGCCTGGTTCTCTCCCACACCCCCTGCATTGGGCTCTGGCTGCTCCTCCCCTCTCTCTGCTGCTGCAGCAGGGAAGGTGGGAGTGGAGTCAGACCCTAAGCAGCAGGAGGGAAGAGGGGAGCGGGCCCGGACAGGGGGTGGGGCACAGGGCTCTGTCCCTGCCTATTCCTCCCCCCCCATAATTCTTGACAGGCAATTGGCTAGTATATTATAAAACAAAAACCGAATTCCTTATTCAAATCATTGAATTCTGATCTAGTGTTCCTTTTTGGATGGAACTGCCTCTGGCTAACTCCTAAACAAACAGCAAATAATATAAACCATCTTTATCTTCTACCTCATCTCAGTTGTGGCAGTGAGTCTGGCTGACTATACACAAACAATTTATTTCCAAGGAGCAGCCTTTCAATGCATTAATAAAAAATGAAGTGACCAGTAAAGTGTCCAGTTATTGCTCCTCTTCCTTTTTTCCTATTTCTCATGCAATGACCCTTTTAAACAGTCATTGAATAGAGACATGCATTCTTAACTTCAAACATTGTCATGGTAAGTGTCTTCTCTCTCCTTACAGGGAATTGTACTTGGGGATGGAGGGAAAAGAGAATAGTCCACCATTGTGTTTAGTTTTTTGTGTTTTTATCTTTTCAGATAGTTTCCCACTTGACTCATTGGAAAGAAACTTCTGATTGAAGAGCATGAAGTGAAAAACCTATCAGATCAAGTGAAAACACGTTACCTGAGAGATAAACAAAACATTTCAGGAAGACTTTTGGTTTCAGGGGCTGTTCTTGTCTTGCAAAAAGTAAATGCAGGTTCCAGTATTCATACCCAGCATCATAAGAGATAAAAGCCCAATGCTAATGGTTACACTGAACAGTTTAGACAAGTTTAAGGGTTAATCGCCCTTATCTACTGTGACTTAAAAAGTAGTTACTCACAATGTGATTCAGCTTAAAACCCAATTTAAAAGTGACATAAGAATCATAAAATCAGAACATGCTGAGATGGTTTCAAAGAAACTGAGTTTTAGCGGTTCTAAATCTAGTAGCAGGTATCTGATATTTTCTAGCTATTTTTATTAAATATGCACCTTGTAGGGTAGGTTCTTTAATGCTAGGCTTCTTAAGCATTACTGTATCAACTTAGGAAGAATATTACAGAAAAATAGTTCAGAATTAAGTATTTTAGGTACCTCACCTCATATAAGGGAACTTGGTCCTTGGTTACAGCAAAAACTAATAAGACATTGTTTTGGACAAGCTTGTCTATAAGCTGTCCAATTGTTGGATACTCCTGAAAACAAAATACAAAGAGGGTCAAATAAAGGCTTTTGGAATAAAAAGGTGAAGCAGGTAAGAGACAAGGATTAAAATTAATATCCTATCATATTATCTGCAATGAAAATCACATGCAATGTATTATTTCTACTATAATTAATACCGTGTGCTCACTGTAATACAAATGTTATTATAAACTACATGCAAACACAGTAAATGTGTACGTGTGAGACTTTCTGCTTGTGCTCACATTCTTACAAAGAACTGAATGACTTCACTTGTAAGATATTTTAAAACCCCTTCAGTCTAAAGTCAGAAAGCTTCTAGAATACAAGCCTTTAGAATTCTCTTGAACTACATATGTTTCTTACATTCCAAGATTCTAAAATCTTGAGACAAGAGCAGTGTCTACCTTTGTGTTTGTATAACACCTGGCACTTCAGGTCCTGACTGGGGCCCCTGGAACCTACTACAGAATTATAATGAATAGTTAGTATTATTTTTATATGCTGCATTTTTTGTTTCAAAAGTTTTCCTGACCTCTGTGGTTTCCTACAAATTCCTAAAATGCTCCTTAATTCCCTCCCTTTAAGAAAATGTGATTAATGCATATTTTATTCTTCCCCTCAGGGAAGAATACCTGTAGATCCTGTTCCCACTTGTGGCAGCTCTCTGTCATAATGTACTTATTAAGTTTTGTTCTGATTTTATGAAAAGCTGTAATGACTGGATTTCCTGGCTCCTAATATATATCACTGATCAAGTATACACTGGCATTAGAGTGGCAAACCATCTCTCCTCTGCTTTAAAATTCCACTCTGAGAATTGTTCGAAAAATGGAGTGAATTACCAAAACTGTTGACATGGAGTATTCGTTGTTGTGGTCCAAGTGACAATTTCCATCATTTGGAATAACAATTCCAGCCAGTTTACTGTCCATTCCAAAATGGGAATCAGCATCACTCACAAAAACTAGTAGATGTAGAGAGTCATTCCTCCACCCAATTTGCTCCTGTAATTACAATGCAATGATTCAGTATTGGCTTTGATCATACTGACAAGATATGATGTTGGATAAAGATGGTAAAGGACTTGGGGACACATCTTTCAAAGAGATTTTTAAAAGCAGGGGCAAGGGGGAGGGAAGAATTGGGGCTGGGACTGGGACAAGCTGCCCAGCAGGCAGAAGGCCGTGTTACTCGGAGAGGGGGAGAGGGGGTGTGGGATGTGGGTGCGGCAGCAGTTGGAGTGGGGACTCTGCCCTGCTGCTGCTTGCCCAGCCAAGGTGGTGGTGGGGGGGTGGGATGTGGGCATGGCTCACTCCAGGCAGAAGGGGACAAGTGGCAACAGGGCATAGCCCTGCTCCCAGTGCTGCCAAACCCACATCCTGAACCTTCCTGTGCTGGCTGGCAAGCGGTGGCAGAGCAGAACCCCCACTCCCAGCACTGACACTGGCACATCTGTGCTGGGAGTGGGGGCTATGCCCTGCTGCCACCTGGAGCGAGCCTCATCTGCATCTCACCCCCCCGTGCTGGCTGGGCATGCAGCTGCAGGTCATAGCCCTCGTGGTGCCCCACACCAAGGAAGAGGCAGGCACAACCAGAGAAGCTGCAGGAGAAGCCCCCAAGGCTACCCTGCCCAGCCGCATCCCCTGCCTGGCCCAGCCTCCCAGCACTTACAAAAAAAAAAAAAAAAAAGAGCCCCATACTCACTGGCTCTGGTAGTTTTGATCAGGGCCTCTGAGGGCTCAGGGCAGAGTCCCTTCGCACAGTGTGGGGCAGTGGGGATCATCCCCCCCGCTTGGCACTCACATGGCAGCTGCCCCAGAGCATGGGTGCAGCATGGCTTGGCAGTGCCCCAGTGAACTCAGCTCCCAGACAGTGTGCAGCGCCCTGCCGAGCCATACTGCACCCATGTGATGCGACAGCTGCCATGCACCTGTCCTCCACTGCCCCACGCTGTATGGGGGGGGGGCTCTCCCATGAGTTCCCAGAGGCCTCAATTACTGCTGCTGCAGCCAGTGAGTACAGAGCTTTTTTTTTTTTTTAAGTGCTGGGACTAGGCTGGGGCTGGGGCTGGGGCTGGGCAGAGCTGGGGCTGGGCAGGGCAGTGGTGGGGGCTTCTCCCATGGCTCCCCCTGCCTGGGGAGAGGCAGGCACAGGTGGAGGAACTGTGGAAGAACCTGCAGCTGCCTGGCTGTGCCTGCCTTTCCCTGGCTGATCCAAATCTCTGAATCAGTGCTGAATCTCTGATTTTGATTCAGCTGAATCAAATGGGAACAGTGATTCGAATCACCGAATCAAATCACTGTCCTCTGGATCGGCTCAATCCAAATCCAAATTGAATACTTCTCTATTTGCACAGGCCTAAATGTGAAATGGATGAATAGATAATATTAAAGAATAACACCACAGAAAACATAGTGATGTAGTGCTTCTTCATACACGCCCAGTTATTACCTGGTCAATGTTTTCAATCAATGGAAAATACAAAACCACCATATTTCAGTGTGTATGGATAAACTGATGTATTCCAGTAAAAAAAGATAATTTGAATGTGCCTTTAGAGTTTAATCAGTCTCTCACTGAAATCAGTGAGTGTCCTTCCATTGACTTTGATGAAATGAAGTCTGCAATTTCATAAAAATAATTTTAGAAAATGAAAGCCACTCATTTTTTTAACACCATGATAAGAATGAATGTTAAACTATGGAATAATATATAATACACTTAAAGGTGTTATTACCTTGCAAACAGCTGCCTGCATAACTGCATCAAAACCTCCCTCTGGAGCATCTATATTAGCAGAGATTTTCTGTTCTTTCACAATTTCATTGAATCTTTGAGTATTACTTGTTAATGGCAAAACATGTTTGTATCCGAAGGTGGGTAAACAATCACGTGGAACACTCCTAAAAAATATATGATAGATATCTACATATTATGGATAATGCAGAGATAGAATACACCCACTTTACACCTGTGTCCTGTGATGAGGGCACGATTAATGCAGCCTGGGTTTGGGAGAATAGTGATTGGTGTTAAGAAAGAGTTAAGTAACGTGAATGTTATAAATATACTGAATTTGTTAATTTTGAACATTTTGAGTGTGGAACAGACTAAGCAATTGTCACATGAATAATCTGTGTTTTTTTTTAATAGGTCTCTAATTTGCTTGAAAGTATATCTGAATTTGTATACTTATTCGTTAATCCATCAAACACATGCGACTAATAGGAAAATCTAAACAAAGAGAAAAAGAACAATCCCTTCTCCCAGCAACTTAGTGTGTATAGGAGAATGACCAAAGTTCAAACCTACTGAAGTGCAAATCTTGCTTACATTATTTGCTCAATTGCAAATTGATAAGACAATCCAGTGAGCAGGGTTTTTGATCACAAACATCATATTACATGTGTTCCTACACTGTCATACATAACACACTGGATGTAGGTGCTTCTTCTGCTTACCTGCAAGGATTTTTTATTTCTTCAGTAGTGGCTTTGATGAATGGTGAAACTGGTTTTTCAACAAAAGACCCAAAGCCCAGTCTGAAGTTACTTGTCAGTTTTGACATTTCTTTGGAAAGGGTTGAACCTAATTCCTTTATAGTGTTCAAATCATCGTCCATGGAAGCTGAAAGGTCCATGAGGTAATAGAGATCAACTGGATAATCTTCAGTTTGGCGAACTTTGATCTGCATTGTTTCTTCATGTCCTAGGAAAGTCAAGGGGAAATGTGGAACAAATTAACACGTCTAACTTCAGATAAATTATGGGCCAATGGTGTCTGGTTATTCTTAGTGCTACTCTACATGGTGAAAATGATTTCACTTTTGAAAGGCATCAGTAAAATTAACAAAAGCACTGTGTAAAATTATCTGTCAATAAAAATGCCAAACAATATTTAAAAGGATTTAAGAATGTACCTTCTTGTTGCGTAGTTTCTTATTGTATAACTCTTGAATAAAGGAATAACATCAGGTTTTAGGACCCTCTGAATTCCGGCTCTAGAATATTATAACCATCACACTATAACTGCAGCTTCAGAACTTCTAACTATCAAATTACTACTAAGCTGAAGCCAGAACTTCACATTAGGAGAGAGCATGTGGTTTAGTGATCTGAGCAAGTGACTGAGACATGTGGGTTCTGTTCCTGTTTCCACCACTAACATATCTGATGGGTGCTCTGTGTTACATAAACCTCTCCACATCACTTTTTCTGAAAGACAAATTCTGATTCTTGATGCACATCTGCAGTACCCTCATAGACATGACTGTTTTCTAGAACACTTCAAACTTCTCAGATAATAAATAGAAGGCAGATTCTCTACTGCAACAGAGATCTGTTTAGGGGAGCAATGAGCAAGGTGCAGGGAGATCCAATTTTCTGCTCAGCAATACCCTGACCCTGGGACTGACTCCCAGCTATGGTGTGGCCAATCCCCTTCCATTTCCACATTCAATACATGGTATGCATCAGGGCTGCTGAAGGGCTGACCTAGAAACTAGCTTTGCTAGGTCTCCACTGGGGAACTGTTGATGATTTCTATTCCATTGCTGCCACCTTAACAGGATAAAGAAAACCAGGAGATAGAAAATATCTTCTCTTTCATAATTGTTAAATACTTTTGATGTATTTAAATAGTGCAAATTCTAGATTAACCCAAGAATTAATACCTGTTGCATTCTCCCACTGCTACAAGATTTTATTTGATTGCAGCTAATCAGAAGCTAGAATCAACAAGAAAGGGTCATATATATGCACTGAGTAACTTACCTGGTCGCAATCTAAGGGTTAACTTTTGAGGAGAAATCTGTGTGATGTCAGAGTTATTTTTCTGGATTCCTACACTAAGAGGCTTGTTTCTATGAATTTCTACTTTAGAAATGGGAAATTCAATGAAATTCAACTGACATCCTTTTGACAGAAGATTTTCTGGACTATCACACCTTCCAGCAATCCCAGAGGAGTCAGTATAATTCTAAAACAAATAGCAGAAAGAATGCAAGAACTATATTTATTTACTGAACAATTGAAAATAATTTACACACAATTGGCCATATGCTGGGGAAACTATAGCATTTCATTTGGGGATAAACTGGCAAAATGTGCATAGTTGAAACAGCAGTTTATATTTGGCCCCAAAATAAACTTTATGTGGCATCTGTTTGGTATCATGGGAGGAACAGTGGTATTATTGGTGCATGAGCATTGTACCATTTACAAAGAGCAAGCATTTGTCCTTCAAAGAACAGGGGAACGGTAACACATAAGTGCATACAGAATCATAGCTGTTTCTGGTACACTTCTCCCTCAACACTAATTTTGGACATAATTTAAAACGGTAAATCATCAAGCATTATTCCTGATGTTTAACATGAGGATTTTGCATCACTATTGAATTTATACCCTATTTACATGAATTTGATGGAATGTTCTGACTGGTCTTTTCACATATTTAGGACTTGATCCAAAACCCATAGAAATTAATTGGATACTTTCCATTGACTTCAACAGGTCTCAGATCAGGTCCCTAAAGTTCAGACTTGTGCTGCTACTCAGGCAGAATTCTTGTCAACATTAACGTGTTTTGTTACCACAGATTACTCCTAATTTCTAAGGCATTATACACATTATTTTTGCAACACTGCTGTGAGATAGTTATTATCATCTCTGCATTAAAATTTTGGCAGAGATTAAAGGTTACACACCTAATTACCATTTAACACGTATAGGCTAAAATTTAGATTTTTAAAACTCCTCCTGAGCTAACACTTAACTCTAGAAACATTTAGGGTCTCTATATATGTACTCCAGGGTTGGGGTGGAGGAGGGGTTTTAATGAGAGTGGTTCTTGGAAAGCTGCTCTAATTAAAACGCTGCAGTGTCACATGTATTCAGTGTCCTGCATTTCAAAATGGCCCCAGGGGCGTTTTAACTTAAAGCTCATTCAATGAGTTTTAGTTAAAGCGCCCCTGCCACCATTTTGAAATGTGGGATGCTGAATACATGTGACAGTGAGGCATGCTGGAGCATTCTAATTCGAATGCTCCAGCAGACTTGATTAATTTAACTAGAACATGTTGGAGCACATGTATAGGCACTCTTAAATTCCATAGCTTTCTATTAATACAATTCCCTCGGTGTCTGAATTCCTGTCACTGGCCATGCCTACAAGTCCTGATGCCATTGAGTTTGTCTGATGCCCAAACAATGATGGGATTCTAAAATAAGTCTTTTTCTCCCTTTGATTTCACATGAGGGACCAGGCAAAGTTTTTAGAGCTTGCCTAACCACTAGTCCAATGGTCAGAATATTCACCTGAGATATGGTGGGTACAGATTCAAATCCTACGATACTTGATTTGAAGCAGGGGTGAATCAAGGTCTTTTGCCTTCAAAATGCATACCTTTATCCCTGGGCTACAGGGTAACCTGGTATTCTCAATCTATTGTGTTGAAGCCATTGAATTTTGTACAATATTGACAAGGCTAGAGAAAGCATAGACACTGACTTTGCACCCCAAGAGCAGCCGGATTGGCTTTGTCAGCCATCTTTGGACCCATGTATGTTTCAAGGTGTATTTAATATTTAAATATCTCTTCCTTCCCCCCTATTTTTTTTTTTCTTTTCAAAAAAAAATTATGTTTGCAAAGAAGGACTGAGCTGAATCAGATGCTTAACTCCAAGAGAGAGTTAATCACTATGAATACAAACTACATTTGAAGAGCAGGGCTTATACTCCCATCTTCTCTTTAGCATTTCCTATTGGCTAGGTCAGGGGGATTCTCACCCATTGTGTTGGCTTCTGTGAATCTCAGTCTTAGGTGCCCAACTCTCCCTATATACTAAATAAGGAGCCTGGGTAGATGGTGCAGAACTAATTCTGTCTTTTAGCCCAAACTGGTTTGGCCAAAGACCAAAGGGAGTCTGACTGGTCCACATGTTTCTCTTGTGCTTCAATGAAAAATTTAGGCTTTAGCTATTAGACCACAAATGTCCCCTGAACGTCATCACTGAAAAACATTCTGTTAAAGTTGTGGCACGTATTTTAAATCAAGAAAAAATAAAATGTCAGAAAGTCAGAGTTGAAAGGGAAGGTGTCACTGCTCTTCATTTCTTATAGAATGCTAAATTCATCCACAGATAAATGTGTCTAGGGCTTTCATTTACTTCAGTGGAAAGATTTGGATACATATGAAGGGAAGAATGCCTTTTTGTAGTTTGGTCAGATTCTGAGTTTTTACTTAGGCAAAACTTATTGACAGACAGATCAAACCCTGTCTATGTTAAAATCACCTACTATTATGAAGCACTTGGAGAGAAACCATATCATCTGTCATAATTAAACTAAAACAGGCATTATCAGATAAACACACATTTCAGAGCTAGTTAGAATGTGTGTATTTATCCAATAGACTATTATAGCTCCTTTGACAATCTATCCTGATGCTGAAAAGTTCAGTCTTTTAATAGGCACATTCTTTGTGTGCTCCACATCTTACATGTGATATAAAATTCATGATTAATTCCATTGAATATTCAATTAGTACACAGGGGTATACATTTTATTTCCAAACTCAAGAATGAAATTGTTTTTCATTTGTGCTTTTTGCAGACTCCAATAACAATATTTAAATTATGATTTAACAGCACACAAACTTTTACATTCAGAAAATCCTGCTTTGTGGATTACATAAGCACATAAAAAGCATAAGAAACACTCTGTTTTTGGCTTTTGCAGGATTTTTCCTTGCCTTTTCCTAAATTGCTAGTGGTGAAAAATGGATTATAAAACAGAAATAGCACCTTTTGATCCTAGTTAGACCCTTCGTAGAGGGGCAAGTCAGTCTTGCCAGCACACTTAAAAAGTGGTTAAGGTATCTAGCAGAGGCCAGAAGGAGATGAGTTTGAGTCCCCAGGTGACCCCCGATGGGAATTGGGTCATTTGGGTTGGGGAGTCAAATACTAGCAGCTAGTATGCTTTAGCTGTGCTAGCTCAATGGGCCACTGGTCTCAGGTAGAGATTTTCTGTTAGTTTTATCTTAGACAATATTTGTTTTATTTAACCCACAAAACCCCTGAAGGAAAGAGTTAATATTTTATTAAATGCTAGGCTTAGCTAGAGAGGCATGAATAATAAAGTACTATAATAAATTATGGGGTTTTTCTCTGATGTCTGATCTATGTGCTCCATGTTTATAATTTATTTATCATGTCTGTAAGAGCTAATCCTAGTATGTATTTACTGCCCTATTTACAACTGAAAATAATGGCTATTTGGAGGCTCACCACCTTGTAGGGTTGGGTCCTTGGGTTATCAATCCAGACAATCAGTCCAGTTGTCCAAGACAGTTATGTAACTTGAAATAGTTTTGCACTACATACCTAGCTAGTTAATAATTTTATAACTGGCTTTTCATGGGCCCCATCACCAGCTGACTGGCTAAATATTAGTTGACGGGGATTCACAAAGCCCTCTCTGCTCATACATGACATTTATATCAGCCAAAACCTCCAGATTTTAAAGTTAGGTGCCACAAGAAGTAGTCAGAACATCAGAAGTTCTGAGCCACATAACTCTTTACATTTTATCTTAAAAAGACAAGCATAATGTTCTTGCTGGATACTGCTCTTTTTATTTACTTATAGTTATTTTTATCAAGCTGGTAATCACAATAGCCAGCTGCTGCACAAATACTAACCAATTAAAAGCCAAAACCAAAAGCCAAAGATGATGTATGGTGGGGAGATTTTATTATTCATATGCTACAGACGAACAACTGAGGTAGGCTGAGTAACTTGCTCAGAAACTGGAGCGAAATACCCAGAAAAAAATCCAGCTTTCTGGTTTGCCAACCTCCTGCTCTAGCCATAAAACATCCCTTTCTTGGGAACTCCATCCTGTACCCCAGGAACTGGGAAATCGCAAAATAATCACATCCAGAATGATGACTCAAGCTTCCTTGAGAGGCTGAAAAATAGGTGCTAGGTCCAGGGAATTTTTACAGAAATGTTAAGAATGAACAGTAGACTATGCTTTCTACAGATTTATTCCACTTTTGATTCCCAGAAAAGTTGTACAAAGTACTTTGTGCCTTGCAGAATCAGAGTCTGTCCTAATTTAGTCAATAATTGATTCATCATAGCCAATGAAAACATTTAGACTTGTAATGCTTTAAAAGTTTTAGATGATTTACTTTACCTCTTGAGAACACCAAGCAAAGTGGGGTCCACAAAGCAAACAATCTTCACAAGTCACCACACTCTCCAGAGTACAACTTCCTAGATTTAAATTCAGGAAGATAAGAGAGAGTAAC